TAAAAAGAGTCCCAATAGACCAGGATCCTGAACCAAGCTCTTCATTAGGTGTATATTTTGACTCGTACACTCCTCCCTCCTGGTGACCTTTTTTGGAGGGGCTACATGGTTTTGAGGAACAAAAATTTGTATTTGGATAAAATTCAAATCAGGATTTTTGTTTTTTACAGATAAAGCTTTTGGTGTTATATGGAAGAAATCTTTGCTTAGTCCAAGGCCACTAAGATTGTCTCCTATTTTTCTGTATGTTTTATAGTTCAGGTCTTCAGTTTGGGGTAACCATTCAATTTAAGTTGATGTATACATATTGTACATGAAGTAAGGATCTAGTTGTGGTTTTTTTTTTTTTTTTTTTTTTTAATCAAGTCCCATTTTCCCAGCACCATTTATGAAAAGGCCTCTTCCACATTTAATTATGTGAATGCTTTTGTCAAAAATTGGTAGCCCAAGCCAGGCATGGTGGCACATGCCTGTAATCCCAGCACTCTGGAGGCTGGCGCAGGAAGATACGTGGAAGTTGGGGCCAGCCTGGGCTACATGGTGAAACCCTGGCTCAACAAAAGCGGGTAGGTGATTTAGCTCCATGGTGCAGCACCCGCCTGGCAAGCATGAGGTCCTGTGTTCGATTCCTGGTAACCCCTCTCTCCAGAAGCATGGTTTATTCTACACTTTCTTCTGTTCCATTATTTTTGTCAACCTGAGTAAAAAGCAAATACTCCAAAGAGTATTTGGGAACAACAGAGCATTGCAGTAGTAATACCATACAGCCACACCATACCACTGCCATAGTAAACAGTGGGTGTACGCCAAGAGACTGGGCTAAGGGAAAGTTATTTTTGTTTTTCAAGACAGGTCTTGCTATAGTTCAGGCTAAACTTGAACTCATGATCCTCCCGCCTCAGATGCCTGAGTTCTAATTTTGCTCTTGTAGGTATGTATCACAGCATGTAGCATAATGGCAAGCTTTTTTTAAAAGAGCTGGGCATGGAGCACATGCCTGTAATCCCAGCTTTCTGGAAGCTGAGGCAGGAGGGTCACTGAAAGTTTGAGGCCTGCCTGGGTTACTTAGTGAGTTCAAGGCCAGCCTGAACTACACATGGGACCCTACCTTTAAAACAACAAGAACCTGAAAACAAGCAAAATTACCTCAGATACAGTATTTGATACCAAAATTCTTGACCACAATAACAAGTGCATCTGAATGAGGTTGGCAGATTTCCTTACAGTTGCTTAGGGCTCTGTGGCATTGGTGCAAGCTGGTAGCTCGGCACATGGTAGGCAGGCACACTCGGCACCGAGCTTGCTCAGCCCCTGCCCCTTTCCTCTAAACATTTTAAGGTGGGCTTTTTCCAAGTTGCTTAGATTGGCCTCTAACTTCTGATCTTCGCGTCTCGGCCTCCCAAGTAGCTGTGATCATAAGCATGTTGGCCCACCTCGCTGTTTAACTACTTTTTTTTTGGTGCAGCCAGGGATTGAACTCGGGCCCCTGCACTTGCCAGGGCAGTGCTTATTCCACTGAGCCATCTCCCCGGCCCCTTAACTACTTTTAGATGTACGCTGAGGCCTCAATTGCTTAATCACAGCGATTCCATAACCTGCTGTTGAATGAGGAATGGCCAGTGCCTTCGAAGGCAGCCTCGCCAGTTTACCTTCATGCCCCAGTCCCTGTGAGGGTTCCAGTTTCTCCCCAGCTCCTCAATACGTAAACATTTTATTAAGGGCTATACAAATTATACAGATGCCAAAATGACTGATTTGCAATTCTACTATCGATGCCCTTTCTGGTCTATACAGCCTATCTGAATATAAACCATTTTAAACTAATATCCTACCAAAAGTCTGACTCAGCAGAGGGCTCTGCAGCTCAGAAGAGCCTTTCAGGAAGCACGAGCCTCGTTCTGTGGCCACCGCCTGGTCCTGAAGCGAGCTCCTCGTGAACTCAACTGCACTTGAAAGCAGTTTCCTGATGACATGGTTCCTACACTTTTCTACATTTCTTCTGCAGTAGGAACATGATTTGTCATGCTCTACTTGTTGTGCATCAGAACTCAGAAGTCACCCTAAAGACAATCCAAGCATACAACTCTTCAAATAGAAAAGATGCTCAGGTAAACCGACTCATCCAGAGGCCTATGCTTAGAACGGAATTATGTAACCCGTGCATCAGCAGCTTTTGCGAAGACAACACTTGAATGTAGGTAACAGGTGAACTCTTTTTTTTTTTTTGCGGAACCCGGGATTGAACTCAGGCCCTTGCGCTTGCCAGGCAAGTGCTTATTCTACTGCACCTTCTCCCTGGCCCCAACAGGTGAACTCTTAAAAGCTCACAATTTACAGAGCATTTTCAGATTCCCAAGTGCATGGCAGGCTTTTCATGAATGACGCAGTTTCTAGATGAGTTGCGTCTTCTCTACTGCTGTTGTATTTCTCTAGAGCCCTTATTTAGCTGTTTTGATGATTTATAAAATTTGGATATTCAAAAAAACATACCTTAATACAATCAAAGGCACAAATGATATTCTTGGGATACTGTGGTAAATTTGTGGCAGAGCCTGCTACGATGGTGTGTACAGTCTTGTACTTAAAATAATAGAGAAACACTTAAATACTTAACACTTAAATAATAGAGAAACACTTTGTTATGTAGGAAAAGTTTTATTTGATAAATATAACTTCATAAACTTTTAAAAAATACTGAGCACTGTACAATAAGTTCACACTAGTTACTGGCAATGCAGAGAATTTTTAAAGGATTACATTAGACAGCCACAGTATCTGAGGTCCAAAATTTTAACCAAGTATTGCTACATATCTCCAGCTACTCGTTTTTCATAAAAATCTATCACCATTATTATAAACATATCACTGCTTTTATAGGAATATCATTCAAATTATTTTACATATCAAACAGCATTTTAATGTTTTATTTTATGAAAATAGATGACACATTTTCAGATAGAAATAAAAATGTCTATAAAGGGGGACTAAAATTAACAAGCATGTTTTACATAAAACTCTTTGGCTCATTAGTTTCATCAGTACCTGCCTTTTAAAAAATTCCTTGTAAAAATTATTTTTACAGGGAAACCACAAGTGTGAAAGAATTGCTCCTTACCCTCAGCCCCCAAGATTTAACAACTCCTAGCTCTTCACTGGGAGTATTAGTGGCCTTGACTCCTGCCTGAGGGTCACAGCTTGGCGGACGGGCTCAGCTCCACCACCTTCTGCAGTGGACGTGAGCCTAGTCACAGAATTAACTAGCTGACAGCCGGCCTTTGGGCGTTTTGCCTGTTTTCATCTGCACTCAGAGCAGCAGTGTTGGGCAGACAGCTCAGAGCCATGGAGCATCAGGCCTGGAGTTCCCCAAGCCTCAAGCAAACCCTGGCAGCGGGGCTCTCCATAGGCCACTGCTTCCGGACAAGCCCGCACCGGTCAGAGCTGAGTAGGGTGCTGAGTCTGCTGCCTAGAGCAGGGGATGGGCAGCTGGGAACACGAACTCGGTGTCCTTATCTCCAGAGCTCCAGCCTCCCAACCGACCAGGCAAAGACTGTGAGTGGGGCTCATAGATCTGAGAGCACTGCGTAACCAGCAGTGACACCCGCAGCGTCCTGCTCTGGCAGATACAAGTATGGTAATTATCAGCATGTACTTTCCAAAGAATTTGAAAGAAATAATGCAAAAAAAGAAACTTTTCTGTGATTGCTATCATAGAGTACTTTTATAATATGGATAGTAGTAATAGAAAACTACTGAACATTTGTAAACTGTATTGTTACTTTCGTAAGTAAAATCCTCTTAAAATTACAAGATAGCATTTCTTTCAAAATGGAGTAAGTTTTGAACAGTAAAGCAGGAGGGGTGCTAGTGGGCGTCACTGGCTGTTTTGGTGCTGGGGTTAGAACCATGGGCCCCATGCATACTCTGCAAGCTCTCAACCCCTGAGGACATCCTTACCCTTAATTTAAAAAATTATTTTAAAATAAATGACGCTGGGGATGCAGCTCAGCAGCCGAATGGCTGTGCAGTATGTGCAAGGCCCTGGATCTAAGGCCCCACAACAGGGAAAAGTTCTCTTTAGCCAACTGTGGCATCGAAGGGAGGAAGTGCGACTGTCACATCCCAGGGCCTGTGGCAGCCAGTGGCACCTGCTGCAGCTGGCCACAGGCCACTTGCCAACTTAAGCCTCATCTCGTGGTAGTGGTCAGTTCATCCGATGGCACAGGAGCACTGTTAAGGCAAGTGTGATGTGGGCCCACTGACATTACTTCAGTGTTTTTTTTTAAAAGACAAAGTCTTATTATCGAGTCCAGGCTGGCCCCAAATGTATGATTGTCCAGCTTTCACCTCCTGAGTGCTGGGATTTCAGGCATGTGCTACCATGCCTGGCTGTCATGTTGTACACATACACTTTAGAACATATTCTACCTAAGAGAAAGCAAATCCCATATTATCCTCTACTAAACTATCCTACTATTTCTGCATTGTTTCTCCTCTGGAACAAGTAACAGTGAATGTGTGTACTGTATACTGTACTGTCTGTCCCTTTAGTGTATTTGCATAATAAAAGACCTTCTTAACCTAGCTCCTGATTGTCCAAGAAGGGCTCTTTATAAAAATGTTTAGCACAAGCAAACAGAATGCCAGCCAGCACAGGTAAGGTCTTAATTCTCCGTCTATCATTCTTAATTCTTGTTCAGCAGCCCAAGCCTCACAGTGAAGAGGAAAAGTGAAGAGGTGCACAATGAGTCTCCAGAAAGGAACTGCACCATGAAGGGACAACGTGACAAAGCTTCATTTAACTGTTTTCCTTTTCTTTTTTGGCAGAACCAGGGATTAAACTCAGACCCTTGCTCTTGCCAGGCAAACGCTTATTCTACTAAGCCATCTCCCCGGCCTTTTAACTGTTTTCTTACAATGTCTACATTGTCTAGGAGCATTATATGCTGCGCAGATAAGCATTCTTAAACTTGTAGCCATTTCCAGGTCTTAAAACGTTACTTTTAACAAAACAAATGACAATACAAATTCAAGATGGAAACTAAGTTTTAAGATGAAAGCAGTTAACTAGACTGATGTGCGCCTGATCAGTCATTCTTAGCCTTTAATTTGTTATTAAAAATTTAGTACTTTAAACTTCACTTCATTTACACTCCATAGTCACTCCTTACAACGTACAATGGGACACTGGGCAGCGTTTACCTTACTGTGTAGTCTGTGGTGATTTAGGTAACATATGCTAATCTACAATAAGATTCTTAACAGAAACCCTTCATTCTAAAATTTAGCTTACAGAAGGGCAGGAATAATTTTAAGTTGGTTACAAAAGTTGCTCTTCTCTTATTATGGATCTAATTAACCATATTTTGATTTGTATAATTAAAACTATTTCCAATATATAAATACTGTCCAAACTTGTTTTTTATTAACATAGCAAACTTTACAACATTGTCATAAAATACTATTATAAACAGAGCCTTTGGACAGAGAAAACCCAAATTTATATGAGCTGGGTTAAAGCATGCCAAAGAGCCAGTGATATGGACATTAAATTAATAATGACATTTAATCTACTCACTAAAGGTTCTTTATATTAGGGGAAACTTAGTAAACATCACTTTGAATGGGTGGCAAGCCCTGGTCCCTGGTTCACATGGAACACTGCCTCACGCACAGCCTCCCGGCTGCCACAGCACGTCTGGGGAAACCTGGCCCTGGAGTCAGCACTGGGGAAATGAATTCTCCTAGTTTGCCCTGTGAACTTTGAGCACACTAATGAATTAACAACAAAAATTGCTGAGGTACCAAAATTCCATATATTCATCTTAACTTTCCCCACAAAAAGCTTTAAATATAACTCTAATAAAAAAATAGAGTTCTCAAGGCAAACTTTCAGCATAATTTACAGAAGCAGATTTAAATAGAATTCAATAACCAATCTAATCCTAAAAAATACAAGTAGGAGTTACCTCTTTTTCTATCTTGACATTAAAATATAGTGGCTTAGGCAACATGCCAAAATGCCATTAGAAGTACCCTATGTACAGGGACAACCCAGACAAAAAGAATAAAACTCCTATCATAAATGTTGACATGTTCATACTCAAATTAAGGGGAGAGTAAAAGGGTTTGTGTTAATGTTTCTATTTCAGAGTGGGTCTGCACTACTGCAGGGCTCCGGAGAGCAACTGCAGAGCTAGCGTGGCCATGGACAGGACAGTCAGCCCTGGACCTGAGGAAGGAAGGTGCGATCGCTCTACAAGCGCTACTGCCCTTTAGCAAGTGGACGAGTCCATTGTGGAGAGGGTCAGGACGCTCCTGTCGTTCGTACAGAAAGGATCCGAGGCACTCCATGATCTAGGGCAACAATAAGAGAAGAGTTTGGCTCACCGGGGCCTATGTTTTAATTGAGAAAAAAACTGAGTCTTAATATGTAGGACTGAAATATAGTTTGAGTTTTAAAATAATCATGGATTCATTTTTGAATGCTAAAGAGAAGTTCTTCACACTAGCACTGAATGCCCATTCTATTTACATTTTACAGAAACCTGGGAAGATTATGCTCTAGTTATATAAAAATATTTGCCAAAATTCAGACATTCTTTAGCATTAAAACATCATCTGGAGGTAGTAAAGCATGAGATGCTTTTAAAAATCTTAATCAAAAAAAAAATTTTTTTTTAGACTTAAATACATAGTTTTATTGAAAAGCAACTAGGCTATATGTTGACATTAGGGAAGGGGCATATGAACCAAAATTCCCACTTACCAAAAAGCCTTGGAATGGAATAGCATGTTCATATTATTATTCTTTTGTATTTTTTATTAAGGGTCTCACTACGCAGATTGGACTCTAGTGATCCACCTGTGTTCAGCCTCCTAAAGTGCTGGGATTATAGGTGTGTGCCACCACGCCCCGTATCAACTGCCGTCTCAGTGTACTTCAGGGGCAAGGCCGGCACAGAGCATGTTCATATTATTGGTCACATATTTTCACTGTGAATTCTGCACTAGATATTTCAGCCTAATTAGCTTAAATGAAGTTAACAGTTTACTCAAAGATACCAAAGACCCTTGCAGATCATTGGCACTTTTACCAAACTAAGGAAGAAAAATGATTCTTTACTGGTTTGGAAAAGTAAACTATCTGAGTGAGAAGGACTTAAGCAATCCAACAGGTGGTGCTTTATTTGGAGCTGTAAATTTAAATTGCCTTGAACTAATTTACTATTTTTCAAAATGTATTTGGTACATTTAAAACAGCTTGGACTCATAGTGATCTTCCTGTTTTTAGCCTCCCCAGTGCTGGGATTACAGACGTGTGCCACCACGCCCCAGACTGGTGGTCAGCTCAGCACACTTGGGGAGGGGCAGAAGCAGCACAGGGATGGGCACCGGGATGGAACCCTGCTTGAACTAATTTAAATTAAAATAATGCATGACAAAAAGTAGCCTGCCATGCTCAAAAAAGGCGGCTCAAGGACAGTATCACATCACCAAGGAAAAAGGTGGCTTTTCTGAGATCAACAGTACTCAGTGATAAGTGTATTTCCTGTAACTTCTGCCAGAGAGGACACTTTCCCCGAAGAGGTGTCAGGACAGGGCTGGTATTAAGAAGGGCCCTGCTGGTCTTCATGAAATGTCTTGTTTTTTAGAGATTTTTGGTTTTTGAATCAATGGGGTGAGCAGTCACCGTCAACTCTGGAAGCTAGAGACTTACAGAGCTGGGTAAACACGCACAACTGCAGAGCGCTCTAGTTTTTCTGGCTTCCAGAACAGCCTGAGCAGTGGGAGAAAGGGCTTGTTTACTTCTGTCTCCCCAGCACCTGGAACTACGTCTGGCATATATTAGGCACCCAGAGTTTGTAGAATAAGTGAGTAAAAATAAGAAAATGGATATGACTTACACTTAAGTCATACTTAAGTGTACTTATGGGGGGCTACATTTTAACTACAACTTAATTGTCAACACCCTCATTATCTTGAGTCAAATTCCAAATTGCCATTATTTCATATTTCCCTTTTTCATCCATTCCTTAAACCAAAGAAAGCTTTTTGTTTTAGTGCTACTGGGGAGTGAACCCAGAACCTCATATATCCAAGCTAAGTGTGCTACCACTGAGCTACTTGCCCAGCTGAAGAAAAAGTAAGTTTTCCTTTATGTCTCATCTTTTCAAAGAGCACATGTGCACTCAATGTTGAATATCATTTTTGACAGATATTAAATACCGGACTGCAGATTAACTCCTTCCTATGTCAAAGGTCATTTTGATTAGAATAATGTACTATTAGTACAGTATGTACAAAAAACCATCCCTGCTGCAGTATAGCTCCTTAGGGTAAAGCATGGCACCATGATGCTCCATGAAGCTACTAAGCCTACAATATGGCATACTCCTTTGAAAACAATAAAACCAAAGTAAAAATTTTGTGCCTAGATATGAATTTAATCAGCAGACAAACCTGCCATATATAATCCCTGTTTTATTTCTCAAGTGATGTGCGTTACTTCTGTATGTCAAAGAACAAGCAGCCAAGCGCTTCTACGTCATGTCATGGAGGCCTCAGATCGTCCCATCCTCAACTTAAGACATGAAACGGAAATGCAGGATAGAGGCTGCTCGACAATCAAAATGGAAATGCCAAACACACTTTAGAAAGATAATTTTCTGCAGAAAACAAAATCAGGACTACATACCAAAAGGACTATTTCACCTTAACTATAATGTTCATATAGCCCTTTGAGAAGCACCAAGTAGCTCTATATATTGTTATGATTTTATCCCCTAGGAAATTATAACAGTAACTGATATCAAAAGACTTTAATCTACAGAAAAAGAAAAATGACAAAAGTCACTAATGCCATGACCTGAAATGTTGGACAACACTGCAAAGGCATTTATAATCTGTCAAACGTGATATTAATTACTAAGTTAAACATTTTGTTAGAAAAACACCTTAGAAAAGAGTATGGCACACTTGAGTGAAGAGAAACAGCCAGCAGAGCCCCTCAAGTCTTCCATGCCAGCCTGCCAGCGCCTGGACGGGGCTTGCTGGGTGACCCAGACTGAGGCTGGGCGGGGCACAGGGTGTGCAGCCTGCACGGTTCACACCCAAGAGCTGGTCCACGTGTAGTGCAGAAAACATCTGGGGCTCTTTTAAAACTAATCTAGGTTTTAAATCATTAGCAAAGCTGCATACTGTCATTAAAGAGTTTATGTGCAAGTAGAAATTTTTAAAAGTCTGTAAATTCTTATAGAGTATCTTAGTCTATTTTCCATTTTGGTCTGTGTGGGAAAGTGGTGTTATTAGCTAAAACAACATGGTGAGTTTAGATCCTTCTAAGCCATCATAGCCCAGGGCTGGGAAGCTCACTGGCTGAGGTACATGAAAGAGCTACTTTTTTATACTGTGTATAAGACATAACAAAATCTCATTTAGTTTAACTATTCACAGTCATCCTTTTATGTGGGATGAACTTAAGTCAAAATTATATCACAGCATTATGGAAATATTTTGAATCACATGTTATAATCAAATCAGAATAAATGGGGATTGAAACTCTAGGCATTATGTTAACATAAAATGTTATTTATCAATTTAATTGTACCATAAAGACATGGCCAAAAGTGAAGTGAAAAACCAATGAGTTCACCCATAAGTTACCCAAATTTTAATATATGAATGATATCATACCCATCACTTTAAAAACACAAAGGTAACCAAACATTAAAACAATTTTTGTATTAACAGATTAAATCCCTTGTTCCTTGCCTCAAGGAATGAAGCTTTTCTAGGCAGTGGCACACACAGAAGGTGGTGCTACTCACACAGCACTCTGGGGAAAATGGTTCGCTACACTGCGCCCGCTGTGGCCCTTCAGGGCCCTTGGGCAGGCAGTGTGGCTTCCACACTGTGAGTATGATACCATTCACCTAACCAACACCAAATGCAGAGAAAGTGGCTGCTAATTCTGTAGTTTCTCCTTAGTAATGATACACACCTTGGGCAAATGTGGAGAAATGAATCCATTCACCTTTAAGTGATTTTTAAATGGCATTTACCAAAAATTGTCTTTTTGGTGATAGTTCATAAAAGGAAGCTATGCTAAGTTTAACTGCAGAAGTAGGTTTGGGAGGGGACAAAATGCTAAGATTCTTCTGAGCCATAATTTATCAATAAATGCCAAGTAAAAGAAACTTAAAAATCATAATTCATTCCATAACTTAATTACAGACATTACAAAGGGGCAGGAGACAGAAATATAGCCTTGTGTGTTTAACCCTGAATGACTGATAGAAAATATACATGAAGAGTAAGAAAAGCAAAGCCTTCTGATTTTACCCAGAGATTACTTTGTAGAGACAAAAAGCAGGGGGAAGCCTCAACAGAAAATGAAACAGTAATATCATTTTAAAAAGAATGTTATACAAATCAACAGAAAGTACCACATACACACTCCTATTCACATTTTAGAATGACTATAAAATAGGACTTTTTATCCACTGTATGAAGTCTCTGTTCAAAGGTGCCTTTTCTTCCTTTGTGTGTGAAAGCGCCCCACCCAAAGCCACACAGTGAAATCTATGGTCAGAGCACTAACAAATAGACTTTCCACTTCAGGCTGGTAAAACCAGCTGCTGATTTACTGCGCACCTAAGCTGCAGGCTCGTCCTGCTCCGCCTTACAGGACGCTCATCTGCAGCAAAGGCTACTTAGAGAAAGGTCCCACCTGCTAAGGTGGGCGCCGCCGCACCGGCCTAGGGCTCGCTCCAGCATTCTTCTAACAGACGCGCTTGTTGCTTCTCCTGGGAAGCAGCACATGGAGTCCAAGCACTTGACACTTGCATTTGTTTCAGTAAACTGGAGAGAGTAAAGCAGAAAAAATTAGTTACAGCCAGATCTGGACTTCCGAAGGTACTAAAGTAATAAATGACGACAAGCACTATACAACCAAATGTTTTCTATAATATGGAAATGTATGAAGCATTCACAGAATCATGCAAAAATATTTTGAAAACAAGTTTAGTGAAGGGTTTTAGTCCTTCATTATGGTCAGATTGGTTTGTGTCAGCCACTCAAACAATGAAGTCTATTTTGGCTTGGAGTTTTGTTCATGTGAGATACTCCTGCAGCTATAATAAGTGTTTAGCAACTGAGAAATGCAGACTACGAACTACCTTGAAAACTGCAAAATAATGCATGGCAGAAGCTAATCTTCAAGAAAAATGACAACAGCAATGAACACTTTATGTAGTGTCTCCTGTGAGTCATGTCGAAGCACGTAACATCGGTCTACTCCACGGTTATTTCTGAAGAAAGTATTGGTTGCTTTAGGTTGCTAAACAAGGATTACGTGCATCCATGCCTATAATCAATTTATCATGTTTTTAAAGGTAACCTGGTGACACATAGATTAAAATTTACTAAACCACTTGATAAACAGTACTATTAAAGTTTAATTTTTCAAATATGCAAAATTTATATTCATGCATAAAAAGCCCAACAAGACAACTTTATACTACTAACAATTTTAATTGTATTAAAATGAGGAAATAAAAATGGCCTGAAACATCTCAGTGAATCCCAACCTTGGTTTTGCTACTCAAGGGCACTTGTACCGTTTCATGGGTTTTCATTTCAAAA